TGCACATTTCCAGAAGGTCACAGGCAAGAAACTGTTGATGAGTTTAAAACCTACTGTTGTTGTGCTGTAGAGTCAGAGCCGGCCCATCGCTGACCCTGTCGAGGCAGGTAATTGAACAGGAAGAGGGTGCCCATCCTTTTGCTCTTGAGCAGCTGGTGACCACAAACTGTGTACCTTCTGGGCAAAGACATTAAATGAAAAGGAAGATAAGAGAGAACTTCTTTGGAGAGAGCTGTGTGGTGCATACTCTCTAGAGGGAGCCAAAAAAGGGCTTCAGGGATCACTAGGGAAGATTAACATGTGTCCTCAGGTCTGATGGACAGTGACTGATGTCAGACGTATGCACCTGGGGGATCTAAGGGGAAAAGCAACAGGAGAGAGAGAGAGCTGATTTTACCAGCACTACTCTTGATGCTTCTATAATGATGAAGGTATGAGTTAGCCTCCATGGGTTAAACAAAGTGATAAGCTGCTAGAAGGCATTGTAAATGTCATAAAAAAAGACTGCCAAGAGGAAGAAGGACAGGCCTTTGAAAACCCTACGTACAATAGAGCACACTTAGACTAGCAGACAGGGCAACTGAGGCTGGACCTTCAAATGTAGCACAGGTTTCAGGGCTATTGGACATAGGGTCACTGTGAGTAGCAGGCAACTTGACGGCATACAACGACAACAACAGAGGAAGATGGGAATATCAGTGAGGATGGGGATGGCTGAAACATTAGGAGCTGAGGAGGAAGAGATCAGCTGGAGGAAGTCTTTGCAGTGAAGGCTTTTTAATAAAGGACCGATTTCTAGAGCAATCTCCAGAAGACACCAACTAGAAACTCCTGCTAGACTTGGAGAACATGCCATTCTCTTATGAAAGCTCCGGTCCAGTAAGAACATTCCTGCTTTCTGAGCTCTTCTTCTTTCTGTTTCAGCCTTGACAGAAACCAGTTATTCAAATAAGGAAGGAAGGTATAGACACATGAAACTAGCAATGAGACTCAAAGGCCCCTACCTAGACCATAGGATTCTCCTCTGCAACACAGCTCTGTGTGGGTCCCTTCCCTCTGAAGGAATCTGGGTGTTTGATTATTAAATGAAATTGAATATTTGGAATTGTAGGATGAGTATTCCACCCATGCAATGAACTGCCTCTGAAAACCCACTGTAGGGTCAGCTATGGGTCAGATCTGACGTGATGGTACACAAAACAACTACAGAATGAGTTTGCAACCTGAAACGACCATAGAACTGATGATTCCTGACACAGACTTCTCCTTTGAAGTTTTGTTGTTGTTGTTGTTATGTGCCGTCCAGTCTCTTGCGACTCATAGCGACCCTATGTACAACAGCCCTAAACTCTGCTCTGTCCTGTGCCAATCTCACTGTCTCTGATACTCCCATCCAAATTATCCCAGTCACTGAATCAATCCACCTCACAGAGGGCCTTCCTCTCCTGCGCTGTCCCTCCACCCTCCCAAGCATGATGTCCTTTTCCAAGGACCGGTCTAAAGCCTGCAGGGCATCTACAAGTTTCTTTTATTCAACATGCCCAAACTATGCTCACTCTTTTCTCTCTGAACAGGAGACTCTCCTTTCTGTAACTGGTAGTTTAGCTTATTACTTATTCACCTACCCATACCATGGACTGCTAAAAGAACAGACAGGTTCATCCTGGAGAGGGTGAAGTCAGGCTGCTCCTTGGAGGCAAGGATTCTGAAGCTTCATTTGACATACTTTGGGCACATTGCAAGGAGGGATCAGTCCTTGTAGAGGGACATCATGTTTGGAAGGGTGGAGGGACAGCACAGGAGAGGAAGACCCTTTATGAGATGGATTGATTCAGTGACTGGGGTAATGGGGATAGATGTGTCAGAGACAATAAGACTGGCACAGGATAGAGCAGGGTTTAAGGCTGTTGTACATAGGGTCGCTCTGAGTCACAGGTGACTTGACAGCATATAACAGCAACAACTACTGCCCATACCTTCATCCAGTCATCCCTCCCTGCCCCCCTCCTTCCCTCCACTCGTCTGTCTCTCCATCCCTTCAATGCACTTGGATGCCTTAACTCTCCTCTCACTTTTCTCTAGTGGTGTCATTGTGAAAATAGAACTCAACATGATGATGCCAGGCTTTAATAATTTTTTTTTTCTATTTGAAATATTAAGAAAGTTCTTTCTGTGGCCACTTGAGTTTTACTTGGTACACAGGTATTATTTACACACTAAATTAATTTCTATTTTTTTCTCTCATTAGTAGATAACTACTAAACAGCTCTACCCAATAGCAGTTAGTGGTAAATACCTTCACAGCAGGCTCTGTCATCAAGGAGCAGACCAGCTATCAGATGTTAACAAGATGATCTAGAATGTGCTTGGACTAATATTTTAAAGGATTACTATTTCCCAGAAATTGTGTAAGCACAGACCGTATACTTGACCCTAGGTAGAAATACTCTTCTACAGGATAATTCATGCTCTGCCAACACACGGCCCTTGTGTATCTCTGGTGCTTTAACTCCTCCACTCCACTCTCTATCTCTAGACAAAATTGTTTTCACTTCTTCTCTAGAGTGTAAAGTCTCTAACGATAAGATTTACAAAAAGCTACAGCCTGCAGTTGAAGCCTGAATGCGTTTTGAATCTTGACGTAACCACAGATGCCACTTTTAAACTGCTAAGGTTGTGCCTTTGTAGTGGCCTGAATGTATCAGCCACTCCTCAGGAGAAAGATGGGTAATGTCCTATCATATGACTAAAACCTCAGAAACTCAATGGAAGGTTAGTTATGAGTTGATTCTGACTAGATTGAAATGAATTTCTTTTCTTTTTTAAAAAATGAAGTTCTTTTGAGTAAGGTCTGTGGTGTCAAAGGTTTATTTGACTTTGACTTCATCATATGGATGGGCAGACTCACACGAATTGGGGGTGTTAATCATCTGTCAGGGGATTGGCTACAGCTATTGGCTGGTCCTGCTACCCCACTAGGTTCAAACTGAGTAGTTTCAGCAGCAGAAATGGGGAACCTTAACACCAACAAGGAAAAGGAAGCAGCACATGTCCTTTGGGGTCAGAGCTCCATATGCCAGCTAGACTGACCAACACAAGAGCAACAGCAGCCTCGGCAGACAAGCAGAGGCTGACACGAGACACAGTTGACTTGGGACTGTTGCCTTGGGAGCTAGACGCCTTCAGCCAAGCTTACTGGAGGACTCAGGGGGAGACACCATAACTTTGTAATACTGACCTGAGTCAGGCCTAACTGAGGGTCAAAGGGCCTGCAATCATGCTTGAGACACTGGTCTGAGGGATTGTACCTTGCTGCCTATTTGAATTATAGCCTGTTTACCTTTCTGTGAAGCCCTGTAACAGTGAGTAGGGTTCTCTGAAGTCTCTGTCATCATCGTAATGGCTTCTGGATGCAAAAGCAGGAAGATTGGTGCTGGGATTAGTGGAAATGGGTGGAGTAGCGTGGAAGACCATGTTTGACCTTATAGGAATTGGTTTTGCAGATGTTGTTGAGGGGGTTAGTTCTATATGTGGACTCAGTAGAAGTTGGACTCAGCCTCAGGATTCCCAGTCTTTTTTACATTGCTTTCTCTGGGGTTCCACACTGCCAAAGCAGTCCTAATACTGCCAGAAGTACTCAGGACACAGAAGAGGTTCATTAACACTGAGGAACGGGAAATTTGCTTAGGCATGGTCTTCTTTGAACACAAAGAGAAATTAATATAAAAGTCACTTCCTTCCTCTAACTGTTTATACCTTTTCTTTGGGGGGAGAGGAGAAAACATTCTTGACTATTGTTACTAGAATTTTGCATTATTAACATTTTTTATGACTGTCTATTATGGAAACTTTACTCACTACCACCAAGTAAGTTCCTGACTCCTCTGGTTTCCAAGGCCGTAGATCTTAGCAGTAAGAGATTGCCCATCTTTCCCCCCTTAATCCTAGATTTGAACCATTAGAGACACGTAGCCTTTTTGTTAGCAAGACGACACAGTGCGGACCATGCCACCAGAGCTCCTATGCTGAAACCTTACTAATGCTTATTAGTAAAGCACCCTTTCAATTATTTTTTCCAGCTCATGGGGAGGCCAAGCCTCAACTGACTTTTGAAAATGACGTAGGCTGTTGAACTTGTAATAGTCTTTGAACTAGAGCAGACATTGCTCTGATAGAATTGTTAAGTTCTGTTTCCCACCCCGCCTCTCTCTTTATTACTACCTATGCTGAATAAAAAACCTCTTATTTTTATAACCATAACTGTTGTGATATTTTCCATCAAGACACTTCTCAGCTCACACTACATTATTGCTTTGCTCATTGTGTTTCTTGACCCTGGAACTTAACCTCCTCTTGGAAGTCTTTTCAATGTTTTGCTCTGGGGTAGAAGCCTCTCCATTGTGGTCCTCAAATATCCAAAGCCTGTCTTTCTCACTGCACTTACAATATTGTATCATAGTTATTTTTCAAAGCGACCTTCACTAGGCCGTGGGATACTTGAGGTAAGGGACCATAGGTCTATTTTGTTCTGTAATGTAGGAGCTAATACAACTCCTGACAAGTAGTAGGACGACATAAGAATAATTCATGCCTTTAGCTGTGGTATTGGAGAAAAGTGCTGAACATCCCAGGGCCCGCCAAAAGAAGAAACAAATACATCTTGGAGAGGATGCAGCTGGAGTGCTCTTCCATAGCAAAGATGATGGGGCTTTGCCTTATATACTTCAGGCATGTTGGTAGGGCAGAGCTGTTTCTTGGACAGGAACATGATGCTCAGGATAGAGGGTTGACGAAGGAGAGGAAGACACTTGACTAGGTGGAATGACATGATGACCGCCACCATGGGCTCGAATGTGTCAGGAAGTGTGAAGACGGCACAGAATAGGACAGGGATCAGATCTATTGTTCATAGGGTTGCTCAACTCGATGGCACCTAACAACAGAAACAATAACACCAGTAGATGCTCATAATGTTTGTTGAATGAATAAACGAACAGTACCTGTCGGTCTTTCAGGTCGATCTTGTTCCCCAGCACCACCATGGGGTAAGACTCTTCCATCGGCATGATCTTGGCCAGAACGTCACCCCGCCATGTATCCAAGGCTTCAAAGGAATCCGAGTCAGTGACATCGAAGGTGAGGAGGCACCCATCAGAGCCTTTGTAGAATGTGGACACCATGGAGCGGAACCGTTCCTGACCGCCTGTGTCCCAGATCTGAAGGGGAAGAGCAATAACCGAAGGCAGCCTTGATGAGCAGCTGAGGGAAAGGCCAACCGGGTAACTTGCACCAAAGCTTCCTGTTCTGAGGGGAACACCTTAACACAGATACACTTGATTCTTTGCATCCATGTGCATCTTGAATGCACTCTAACACTGTTGCACATTAACACATTTAACTAACATGTGTGTTAAGAAATGTGTTGCACTATAATAACACATTTAACATCCTAAGAGCACATTCACATCTAACTCTCACTTTATCCATTGTCATCAGGACAGGGCATATTACACTCGACTAACAGATTTGGAACTTTGCACTGTGGAAGTGACTTGCCCAAGACTTCCTGCCAAATTTGCCAAGGAACTCAAACCTGGGAATGGGGTCTGTAACTCCTGGATTATAGCCTTACATTCCAGTCAGGAAAGGCTAATTATTTTCAGAAACAAAACCAAACCGGATACCAAATATTTTCTATCTCGTGGGTCATGTAGTCTTTGTTGCAACTATTCAACCCTGCTATTGATGTGTGAGAGCAGCCACAGTAGACTAATGAGTACAGGTGTGTTCCAATAAAACACTATTTCTAAAGCAGGCTTAAATCCTTATACTCATTTTATAATAATAGTTTTATAT